ACTTTGGCGCCACTGTCAACGGTTCCAAAAAATTATGAAGAATTATTAGCTCCAGAAGTGGAAAATTTACAAATTAATTCATATTTTACAGCACTGAAAAATAGTATAAAACGCTCGCTGAGCGATAATATGAAAATAAACTGGATTGTAAATATCCATCTTCGCAGAAAGGAAGGTAATCTTTTTTAGGTTTATAAATGTCTGAATCTTTGGCGGAACGTGTTATGAACGTATTGGCTGATTTAAATTTATTCAATCATAATATATACGTCTTAATTGTTTCAGTGACCACAATATTTTGAGTTACCATAGAATAACATAAATATTATTTGATAGTAGGTCACGTACTTTTAATATGTCATCAAATGTATACGCTGCGAATGGATCAAGACGAATATGTATGAATAAATCCTTTTAACATCTCATCTTATTTACTTTGTAAATTTTTTATGTTTAATTAGTAGATGTTATTGTTTTTAATACTTTTATTGAATTCCTAAACACATAATAATATTTAGAACGTACATCAACGGTGATTTCTTTAATTTAGACAAATTTATCTCTGTATTAATCAAATTAAGAAATTATAATTTTCAATTAACTGCTTCCTTATGCAGAGAGAATAATGTTAGTCTTATGTTCTTGTACTCGAAAGGAGTAAAATTTATTAAGATAATAGGATATTATACTTACAAATACGTATATATCTGTAAAACATTAAGTCACCAAAATCAGACTGCATCGTGTGTTACCAGTGTTTATTTTTTATGATATCATACTAAATTGTTTATCCTGAATATGGTAAAATTTTCTACCAAAATAATTCAGGTCACGATTTGAGGGTAGAAACAACATTACGGCACACAAACAAGTATTTATTACGATTCCATTAGAGTCAAAGATATTTTGTATGGCGCAGTGTGACGCACGGTGGTGCGCATTCGAGAAACTGTGGAAAAAATAATGTGGGAACAAACGACCCCGTTGAGATATGTTTTAGATAAAGATTATTTATACAGTGTCTTATTTTACAAATCCAATTTCCGCGTGAATACACGGGCCGGCTGTAAATAAAGTAGACAAAGCTTTGCTGGAATCGCGTACCGTTCGATACATTATGCAGACCACGCTTCGTTGCGCCGAGCAATGAGCTCTGTAAATACACCGGGCATATCTGCGAAACGCCGCTTTTTCAGTTTTCATGCAATTGGTTTTTTTCATCAGCATTCGAATTAGGTCATCACCGAAGTTGTGTTCTATTTTCCGGATATACTATTTAACCACCCCGGATTCGCACGGGTGCAATTATTTAATTAATATAAGCCATGTCACTCACTGAATATAATGTAACTTTCTTTAAGTAAAATATCGTCTAAGTATTATGAGAGTTACCAGTTATCCATTACCACCAAAAATAAAATCTTACCTCTTTACAAATTTACTTTAGATAACATAGGATAGGGACACTGAACTTCATTATCGAGGAGACGATAATAATGAATAGTTAAGTTCTCATACACAACTTATTTAGTAACTCAAATTAGATCCATTAGCAAGTATTACATGGTATTAATATTTAAATTACGACAAATAGAGGGCATTAATAAAATCCTATTGTAATTGCTCCCTAAGTACATAGATATAAGTAAAATTACAATACAAGTTGTCAACAATGAAATAATTTGATTTAACAAACAAAATCGGCGTAACAAGATAAATACTGTTACATAATATAACATTGGTGTGTCTACAACGATTTTGTTATTGAGCAATATCTGTGTAAATTACAATTTTCCACGCAATAACACTTATGAATATTAATGCTGCATGTAAATATTGAGATAGGGCTACGAAAAATAACTAGAGTAAACATTATTCATTTATTCCTTTCCGACAGCCGTTATCGTTATCGGCCACCGTTTTCTACGCCATTGATTCCAAAAAATAGCAATGATATCTTAACAACATAACATGTGGGGTCTCTCCCCCGACATTTATAAAAAGTTGAGTGCCACGAAATGCCGCGTGGACGTAAGGAAATATAGATAACTACAGTGAAACTAGACGGATCACGGTAGGTGCTACAGCGACGTCTAAACACGCCCATGCACTCCTTATCATGACAGTAGAAAGGCCCTTTTTCATTTTTCCATTGTTCCCGTCGCTCAGATTTTTTTGCCGCGCGCGGCTGCGGCCGTCTCCAAGGGCGACCAGCATAGTGGAAAAGTCACGTGATTTACAGACGACAAAAATGTTATTTTCGTTACGAACCGTGTGTGAACGTTACTTGTGGGTTTGCGTGACATATTTTCCTAGTGTCGAGGATGACAAATGGGTAGATAAATCATGGCGAAAGCGAGCTTTTCTTTTAAAAGTTTTATTTCTACGTATTTGTGGAAGTTTTCTGTTTACTTCTGACGGCCTCATTTATTTTAGTGGTATTCGACGAATACCTACACGAGCTATTTTTCCCACTGAATTAGTCATACGGTACAATAATACTTTGTATGTAACTTCATTAAACTCGATACCTTTTCAAATATTATTTTGTGTAGCTGTATTGTTGAAAGGAAAGCATTAGATACAGCGCTCCAAACTTGAAGGTAGATTTTAGCCACGGCGCCGGCGGAAATTAGCGTTTTTGCCAATCCCCCTTATCGTTCCACTCATTTATAATCGTAAGGAGGTACGATTCGTTGTGAATTTACTTTAGGTATAGATGATTCCAATGTAGCACTTTTGCCATATCTTAAAAAATATTGTAGCACGAGCATTTTAAAAAGATTTTTATTGTCGTATTATAACAATGTCGCTTATAAAGGGAAAATGTCACAAAGAGGGTATTATCTATTATTATACTGCAATATTTTATTCATTAAAGAAAATGTAGCTCAATATACTAGTGGAGAGTATAAAAAAATATGCCATACCATTATATCTACTGTACGACTACGTGCATTTCGCTATTACACAGAATTTCTTTCTGAAAAAGTGAATGTTAATACTATCATAACATTCGTAATTTCCTAGGCAATGTTGTTGAATAAAAAAACTATGTTTATAAATGTGAAAGTGTGTAAATGAATGGTAATAAGGTTGGATATTTCTTAACCAATCATGCTTAAAATGCTCAACGGATTTCAATTCAATTTTCATATCCATATAAGCTATTGGTAGAGGAAACTGGAAATATAAATTTGAAATTGATCTGTTATAAACAAGTTCCACCGATGTAGACTTTATAAAATGCAACCTGTATGGAACCTCAGTATCGTTTATTTCAGATGCTATGTAAATGGCTTTGTTTTTCGGTTGAAGGATGCAGTAAAGGAATGAAGTTGTAGAAAATAAGGCAAGACAACTCATTTGTAATGGCAATACGGTTTCGCAAATGTCCCATGATAACGTAGTCTGTAGTGCTTTTCAATTTTTATAGGCGACTTATTCCACATACCATCAGGTGGGCTATTTTAATTACATAAAAAAACTCCTTAACACTTTAACAGCATACTTAATCTTCGTGTAATTAATAATTTTGTATGTTTTTCTGTATCTTTAATCGTAAATAGCTACACAATCCTGCCTCTATATTTGTTCAAACGCTGGGCAAATGTGAACACTCTTATTATGGACAAAGGAGACCATGGTGTCAGTATCCGGAAGTGTAAATTAGATGCAGTCGTTTCACTCAGCAGTTCTAGTTGAATTGTTTGAAAACAAGATGTTTGTTCGTTCCTACATATTGTCCAAGGAACTGTCGGCATTTACGTAGCTCTTTAGTTTTTACTATTTTATATGTGTATATATAAGCTCCTTTCTTGCAAATTCTCTGAAATGTATGCTGTGTATTTAATAACAATGTAATAGTTTATGATAATAACTGTAGCTAAGTAAAATTGATGACAATAAAAAATATTATTAATATTACTAAATATTCCTTTTATTTTACGTAATATATCTGACAAATTATTATGTTAATAATAAATTATTCTGTTGTTATTATATCAATGGAGCAATAAACACCAGATTTTATTAGAGTTGTCATTGCCCATAAGAAAATTGAATCGAAATTGAATCTACATAACAAACTGTAATGCTTTTAAAAAGGGATAGTTTGATAGTTGTATACAAAAATAATATAGTTTCTATCGAGCCTGACTTGAATATGTGGACAAAACCTTCTAAATGAATCTATGTAGTCGGTTACTTCTAAATGTACTATATTGAATAGAACAAAAAATTCATGTTAAAAATATCTTGTTCCTAGTAACGCAAACCTGATCATGTCAAAATTTAATTCATCATTGCAGGCATTAATATTACTATTTAGTAGTTCTAGAATTAATATATGTGTATATTCTAAGCGCTAAAATAAATGGAAATTTATATCAACGCTTAACGATGCATACCAGAAACGGTTGTAAGTTAAAGATTTTTGATAAAGAGAGAACTAATGTATACACTATATTTATTATTTATATGGTTTTTCCACAGGGCAAAAGGATTATAATACTATTTGTGGTCATGTACTTGATATTATGAAGAAGTAGTTTTCATTAGTTATAGTATCAGTAGTCATAGTTCTTGTCAGTTCTTCTCACGTCGATATCATTCCGAACTGACGGTATATTTGACATATATAATAAGAGTCTGTAATAGACCTACATAAATAAAGATATTCTAAATTTGAATTTGAATTCATTCGAAGTTTCTATTCAGTGTCATACAGCATAGTTGCAGGGATGACACTGAAGTAAAGCTTCAAATGAAAATTATAGAAATAAAAGTATCAATTTTATTTAATGAATTTGCCTTAAAGCATAACTTGTTAATAAATAATATAAATAAATAAATATAACAAATCTGTTTAATTTTCCGTTTTGCCTATAATATTTACAATAAGTTTTAATACACATATTTTTGTAAACATTACATACTGGCTGAAATACATTGCTATTTATTTATTATAAATTTTATGTCAAAACTGACGTACCTATACCTAATGTTGTAAATAAAGACTATAACAGTAATATAAATAAATATATATATTATAGTATAAAATAATGTTCAAAAACACGTATCAAAATGGATTATTATCAATTTTTTATAGTTGTGGCTCAAATCCATTGGCCTTATGGGACATGGAAGTAAAAAATGGTCACGTAAAACGACTAACCGATAACGAAGTAAACTCCATAGTTTTAGAAATAGTAAGTACGAATGTTGCGACGACATACATAACATGTCCGAAAAGAAACCAAGTACTAGGAATAAAGCTACCTTTTCTAGTTATGATAGTAAAAAATCTAAAACGATATTTCTCTTTCGAAATAACCATTCTCGATGATAAGAACATGCGTCGAAGATTCAGAATTTCAAATTTTCAATCTACAACAAAAATAAAACCATTTTGTACGAGCATGCCAATTGGCCTTTCTGGTGGATGGAATCAAATCCAATTTAATTTGGCTGACTTTACGAGACGAGCGTACGGTACACAATTTATCGAGACACTTCGCGTTCAGATTCATGCTAATGCTCGTATTCGAAGAATTTATTTCAGTGAGCGGTTGTATACTGAAGAAGAGTTGCCTCAAGATTATAAGCTATATTTACCCTTGGAAAGAAAACAAAAGAAAGGTAAAATGAAAAAGGAAGAAACTGCTCCTGATGCAAAGTCTCAACCTCCTACTCCAATATCAGCTCCAACAGAAGCGCCAGCTGTTGAAGTTCCGCCTATAGAAATTCTACCAACAGAGCCAATTAAAGAAGAGGTTCCTAAAAAAGTAAGTGAAATTGCTGTGACTCCAGCTGCTACTGATTATGAAGAAGAAAAACCTCCAGAAATTGAGGTTGCACCTGAAGTACCTGAAGAGCTTCCAGTAGAGGCCATAGAGCCAGTAGAAACAGAAGGTACAGTGGAGCAAGCAGAAGATCTCCTGCCGATGAAATAGCAGCAGATAATAGTTACTTTTTGAAATCATATATTTTATTATAATACGTTAGTCATTGTTATATCTGTAATTTGATGAAAATATTATGTTGTAGTTATTATTTTTTGTTACACTAGAAATAATTAATGTTAATAGATCCGAACTTATTTATTATTATAGAACGTTAAATAATAAATGTCATTATTTTGTTAACTTTATTCGACATATCATTGATATATGGACGGAGATACAAAATCATATAACTCTGTACTTTGGAGTCTATGATGGTTCAATAAAAAATAATTTTCGTAAAAACGAATGTAAAAATGTTATCCAGTGAACTGGCAATACTGCGTACACGTAAAACTCATAATTCGTTAATTCGCCAAACAAAAAAACGAGGCCATTTGCCAAACCGAAGTGGCTGTGTGGCCATTCAATATGCAAAAGCGACTCATAAAATTGTACGTCGTCGGTTATAGCTGCCTCTTTAATAGTTTATGTTCTGGTCTATGGCGCGAAATTCCGTCCATTATTTAGGGCCAGTGCCCGTCAAACTGACTGTACGAACATCCGGGGATTTATAGGCGGTTTACACTGGCGCTTATTTAGCTACGTTATTATATTGAATTTCGAAAACTCATTAAGAATTTCACGGTACAGCTTTGTGAAATAATATCCGCTAAATTTCACTTTCCATGCCCATGACGCTCGATTCGTTAGTGAATTTACTCTGAATTGGTTTGGAAGCATAATACTTCTTTGTCGTGGGATAAAATTCCGGTTATTGGGATTTGATTTTCTTCTTATGTTTCATTTTGTATTTGTACACAATATATAAGGGGTCTATTTTAAATTTTTATCAACGGTTGTTTATAACTGTATACATTATTTAAACGGGATAGTGTATAAAATATATTATTTATAAGTTTACACTAAGGGAGATTTTGACAAATGTGACTAGCTGTATAAGGCTACAAGGACGGCGGAGCGATCAAAAATCATGAAATTGATATTATGTAATTTATTAATAGCTCTTAAAAGGTTTCATTGTAATTATCATGATTCTTATATTCCAACATGTATGGACTATGTAAACAGTTTAAAATCATGTTTGTACATGAGAGTTTAATAGTGGCTGTAACATGTTTACAATCTATTAATATAATAAAAGCGAATGTTTGCTTTATCTATGATATTTATGACTTTATTATGTTATAAACAGCCGAATGAATTTGATTCAAAGTTGTCAAAGTCTCCCGACAAATGTGACTAGCTGTATAAGGCTACAAGGACGGCGGAGCGATCAAAAATCATGAAATTGATATTATGTAATTTATTAATAGCTCTTAAAAGGTTTCATTGTAATTATCATGATTCTTATATTCCAACATGTATGGACTATGTAAACAGTTTAAAATCATGTTTGTACATGAGAGTTTAATAGTGGCTGTTTACAATCTATTAATATAATAAAAGCGAATGTTTGCTTTATCTATGATATTTATGACTTTATTATGTTATAAACAGCCGAATGAATTTGATTCAAAGTTACATAGTAATACACCGATAGCAATATAGTACATTCATATATAATAGGCTATTATTTTTAGAATAAACAAGATTATTGGTTTTGAAGACTATATCTGGCTAAATAACATTAATTTCAGTTGTATTTTTCATTTAAATGTACATTAGTACGATAACTTAATATAGATACAAATATACAATTCAATTTCTAATAAATTATAGAATAACCATAACTTTATCCCAATATTTTGGTATGTACAGTATGTTTTCATTTTCCATTACGCACGATCCTATTATCCCTACGAACCGCCGTTTCTGCATTTACTTTCTTTCTGAGTAGATCATCTTTCGTACAATCTTTTCATTTTTCCTGGATCTTCGTATCCATTTAAATGTATCACAATTCATGCACATAATCCAATGAAATATGCAATATGTATAAATAAAATAAAAGTATTTTAGAATTTAAATTAGATTTTTGCAATTAAAATCTAAAATCATAAACCCAAAGAGTAGTCCTATATCACTAACTTTTATGAGTTTAAATAAATTGATAATGAAATATATGTAATATAAATAAATTAGTGTCCTTATTGAAATGTTACTTAATCGTAATGATTTCAAATAATTCAATACTTATTTTGAGTGATATACACTGGAAATTATGCATCGAATTATCATTTTAATTTTATTAAATAAACATTACTTACAATACATACTTGCCAGGTACTTTATGAAGCATGTGACTGTCACAAGTAAATCAATTTGTCCATTTCGTTTACCAAGTCTATATCGTTGTTTGAATCATTTTTTACCTGAAAGAGAAGAAAAATGTTTATTAGTTTATCTATATATATACAATCTAGATCATATTAGTATAGCTATTATTAAAATCGTTACTTCCCTTAGATTATATTGAAGATTCGAATTTTAGTTATAATACTATTTGAAACAATCCTTTTTGTAGTACCGCAAATTGATGATTTTGACATTAGTTTTTCTTTGCAAATATAATATATTATAGTTATCTATAAGAGATTTCTATTAATAATAAAACTGCCTTTCTCTGTACTTTCTTATTCTCATTGTTTTACATTTAAGTAGCTTCTATCTTCACGTCTATAATAGTATTCGTTCAGTTGTTCAATTTATGGATAAAGATTGATAATAAAAATCTACTAGGTTTCATAAATACCACCAATTGGTTGTCGCCAATTTTGTGATATATTTTCTGAACTTTATTGACAACATTTCATGCGTAGTCAATAGCGACCGGAAGGGAGTGAAAAGTGGCACATTATTCCAATATATTGGAGAAGGTCCTATCTCATTTCGGATTAGCGGGGTCAATTGCTCATAGAATTGAATAAAAATATTAAAATGGTTACCGAGCGACCTGCCCTCCAAATCCTCGTATAAACCCTTTTTTATTGAACATACATAAGTTACGTACGATATCTAAACAAGTAAACAAGAATGGAGTGAGATCTTTGATTTTTGTAAATATGTACTTCAAAATTAAAGCTCGAATTCGATGGATAGACGACCTTACAAGCAATGGCATAAGTCATATTATTATGTGCCCATAACGTAAGTATTCAACATAATGTTTTTTTGAAACCATGATGAAAGGATGTTTAAAAGGTCAACCTTTTATGTTAGATTGAAATGGACCCTTTCGTTGCTTTTTAATAGTCCATTATATTACAAAAACATCTGTTAATATATTAAGGCAATAGGAAAAATATTGGGAATATCTTTATTGATTTTGTTATACAATCTTACAAGAATAATAACCATGGTTAAGTGTATATATTACATGAGAAATAAACGGGAGTATATTCTGTCGAAGACCGTATATACATGAAGTTTAAACATGATACCGCCTTATTTCTTAAGCAAAACTGGTGAGCTAGAGCGTTATATAACATTAAATCATATACGAAAGTAACATATTCGGTTAAAGCTTAAGATGTAGGCGTCGAGCGATTTAACTAGCGTTTGTGAGTGTAATAACAATTATATCATTAGATTATAAAAAAATATTATAGAATATTATTATTATCTTTTTTAATAAATTTTCTATAATTATAAACATATTATATATTATATTAGTAAAAACAAAATTTGGAACGTATTAAATAAATGAATAAATATTGAGATTGTTATTGTATTTTTACAAAGAATCTCAGAACAACAACGTCATCTAGACCCAAGCTACCTAAAGCTTATGTTATGGGTACTTGAGAACTGATACAAATACTCAGATATATATTTTTTCGTAAATACATACATACTACACATAGAAGTCACCCAGACCGATACAAACAATCATACTCATGAATACAAATGTTTGTCCCGTGCGAGGAATCGAAACTGTGACCATCGAGAGTAAGGCGGTGTGCTAATCCGCTAGACCACCAATGCATATGACACACATAGTTTACAAAGCAAGCAGGTTAGCGGTTGAAATAGTTTCAATATAATTAATATATTCGGGTATGTATGGTGGTTAAGATTCAAGTCCGTTAGAATATTTTTCAATATAGGCATTTTAACCCGGTTTTACAACGTTGATAACTTTCAGTCTAGAGTGCGGAGTTTCCCTTGAGATCAGGAGGTCAAGGTATCGGTCTAATATAATCCTCTTGACCCAGTTTATTGCAATGTTTTACTTATAAGTATCTCCCTACTTTATCGACTTTATAGACTTCACATGGTATAATTTATATCGATGTCAACATATGTAGATAGTAAATATATTGTATATAATAAATAGATTTTATTACTTCTTTAATAAAAGAATATCTTTATAAAGAAAAAAATCATATAAATAAATTGATATAATTTGATTAAATCGTGTTCTCTGTTCAGGCTGATTGTCCCAAACTTAGCAGAATTTAATATAGATAAAAGAACAACTACTAAACATTTCTACATACATAAGGTTATTATTATAAATACATCATAGAAAAATCTCTAAATAAAAGTCTAACATTTATTGTAAGCTAAGTAAATAAATATAAAATGTGCTATATTTAAATAGCATGAAATCGACGATGTAATGTATGAATAAGAAATATAAACTGTCTAATTAATAAAACTGCGGGAAGCCATACCACATATATTTGCAGAGCATGCGAAGTGAAGAAAGAAAAGAATAAGTAGACTAAATAAATAAAATGTAAAAAGGCAAGGACCTGCAGTCTATGGACAATAACGACGTAACTTAGAAAAATATAGCGTAGAATATAGTACTAATCAATATCGGAAACATAACTAAATGATCGTGCAGTTCACCTACTTATCGTTATAGTTGGAGAAAACTTAATTCCGTACCAAGATTTTATGCAAAAATTCTCCTTTTTTCTTGATATCCTTTTCATTTAGTTCTTGCATTTGTATAATGCATAAATTAAACTTTTCCGCTGTTCTTATATCTTGGACTCCGTGGCGAGAAGCTAAGGGAACAGTCCACGCCTGTGTCGGCT